TTCCCTCCAGCACTCAACTTGCGAGAGAGAGCAAAAGCCACGGAGTTGTGTGTACGTTGATGCAACTGCGGACAAGGAGATAATGGGGAACCTTTCCATCTTCCCAGCCTACAATGTAGAGGATTCACGAAGCAAAGAGAATGCATCATTTGCTGATGGTTTGCAAAACATCACACATGGATCATCAAGTTGGAGCATAATGTGCCAGCAGGACTGCTGACCCAAAGGTCCAAAGTTTGAATCCAGGGAGCAGGGTGAGCTCCCCTGTTAGCTCCAGCTTCTCATGTGGAGACATGAGAATAGGATGGCAAAACATCCAGGCATCCCCTGGGCAACATCCTTGCAGACAGCCAATTCTCTCACACCAGAAGTGACTTGCAGTTTCTCAAGTCGCTCCTGACACTAAAAAAGATGAAGTTGGTCAATCAAAAGGATATCTGTAATGGGTAAATGGAAATCCAATACAGGTTCAATATCCCATATTCAAAACACCTCAGACTAATAGTATTCCTTATATGAGATTTTGGAATATTTGCATATACATAATTTCTTGGGATATAGGACCCAAAGCTAAACATGACATTCATTTATGTTTCCTATACACATAATTTTTATATTATTAAGTGCATGTAGGTAATTCTATACATTATATTTTAAATCATTTTGTAAGTGAAACAAAAGTTTTTGTACATCGAACCATCGGAAAGCAAAGATGTCACTATCTCAGCCATCTTTGTGGACAATTTTGGATCATATTGGATTTCAGATAACAGGTGGTCAATGCATATAAACAACTACAAAGCAATGCATATCCAAGGGGTAAATATTCTTGCTCCACGCTGGAATCTGAGCTTTGAATAATGGGCTGAAATCTGGAACTCTGTGCACAGCTTACCTCCAATGGGTATTATAGAAATGGAAAAGGGAGAGAAAGGATAACCCAAACTAGCAAAGGATGGCAGAAACCACACTATAGCTATATTTCATTTTAATGAATTGACTTGAAAAGCACAGTATCTACATTTCCAAGCTATGCTACTTCAATATACACTGGCCCTTGGTATCCACTGAGGTCTGTTGTATGTCAGCCTGTGATTGCGTCTGATGTTCATGATGGGAATGGGCATGGTGTTCCTGATGATGAGAGTTTGCTTGGACCTGAGTTAAGTTCAGAAGAGAGGCCTGAGCTGTTTCAGGAAGAGTCACAAGGCCACATTCCTGGGAGCGACCTTTCACGGCTTTTCTCAGAGTAACTGTCTGAAAATGATGCTGAGATTGATTTGCGAGGTGAAGGGAGTTAATGAGGGAGAGGATAGTGAAACCTTGGACAGAAAGTGAAGTTTTAGTAAACAGAGGCAGAGCTTCAGAGACTTCAGCTATAGCAACAGAGACATCTCCAGCTCATCCCCTGTTTGGGTATCAGCCAGCACGTCAACGACTGAAATCTAGAAATAGTTTTCTAAGATCTACAGAGACACTCGCTGGAACACCTCAGCAAGCGAGAGTCCAAAAGTGGCAGGCTCAAACCCAGAACCTCAACCAATGGCTGATACCAAATGAGAGATTCCCCCTGGCACACAGAAGATTGGGCAACTTGGAAGACGCTGAACAGACTGCGCTCTGGCACCATGAGATGCAGAGCCAGCCTTCAGAAATGGGGCCACAAAGTGGAATCCACGACATGCGAGTGTGGAGAAGAGCAAACCACTGACCATCTGCTGCAATGCACCCTGAGCCCTGCCACATGCACCATGGAGGACCTTCTTGCAGCAACACCAGAGGCACTCCAAGTGGCCAGGTACTGGTCAAAGGGCATTTAATCAACTACCAAACTCACAAGTTTTGTATTTTTTCTGTTTGTTTGGTTCTGTTAGAAATGTAATACAATTGACTGGTTGCCCTGACATGACAAATAAATCTACAGCAAAAGAAAGATAACAAACCATTATCTACTGGGAAAGCCAAGAAAAACACTTTCCTTTTAGTTTTGGGTTCTGGAAAAGGTTTATAATGATTCATAGGAGTGAGTTGCCTCAGCTGAGGCAACATTGTTATTTTATCAAGTGCTCTGAGTTTCATGTACCAAATTTTTGCCAAGCCTAAGTTTTGCCTTGTTCTTGCTTTCAAGTGCTCTGAGTTTCATGTACCAAGTTTTTGCCAAGCCTAAGTTTTGCCTATGGGATTTTCCTTGTTTCATGTGTTTCAAGTGCCTTGTTGGTGGCGCAATGGGTGAAATCCCTGTGCCGGCAGGACTGAAGACTGACAGGTCACAGGTTCGAATCCGGGGAGAGGCAGATGAGCTCCCTGTATCAGCTCCAGCTACTCATGCAAGGACATGAGAGAAGCCTCCCACAAGGCTGATAAAACATCAAATCATCTGGGCATCCCTGGGCCAATTCTCTCACACCAGAAGCGACCCAGGTCACTCCTGACATGACAAAAAAGTGCCTTGTTTCATGGATTTCTATGTACTCCTGGATCTTGTTTCCCTTTAAAACTTACAGACTATTTTGAATTTTTACTATTTTGCTATTTTTTACTGCTTTGCCTACATATATTCTACATTAAACTGCTTGCTGATTTTACCAAGCTGGTGTGGTATTTAAGGTCAGAGGTTTTCCTGCTCTGGTGTACTACACATCCCATGGGTACTAAAAACTATGGATATTTAAATTCCATTGTACATAACAGAATTATTTTCTGGAATTAATAGATAGATAGATAGATAGATAGATAGATAGATAGATAGATAGATAGATAGATAGATGATGTGTGTGTGTGTGTGTGTATTTCAAGCAATGTATGCAGAATCTGTGAATGGAGGGGCAACTGCACATCCTTAAAAGAGCCCTCTGATATTAACTTGCTTTGTGCTCTAAAATATATTACATAAAGCAGCTGCTAGTATTGACTGCACGATTACTATAATTCTGTTATGTTGGGGAAATGATAAGTTTGTGAATTTTAGCCTGGGAGATGGCAGCTTATGGTGATGTAGTTCCTTTATGACTACTTGTATCATGCCAGAGCCAGAATAATAATAGTATTGCACCAGGAGTCTTGAAACCAGCATTTCAATCCTTACTCAGCCATGGGAACCCACTGGGTGACCTTGGGTGAGTCACACTCTCTCAGCCCCAGAAGAATGCAATGGCAAACCTCCTCTGGAGAAATCTCACCAAGAATTCTTGGAGTTGGTTCAGAACAAAACATTGACATTTGTAGTTTTAGGCTGATAGCTTAAGTAATTGGGCTTTTGCTATTAAGTGCTGACAATAAATATTTTTACAAAGTTCTTTGTGCTAATCTGATGCATAGTGCAGATCATTTAGAAGCATTGGTAAGCATGCTTTATGCAACAATGCTTTCTGTTCCTTTACTCAAGAGTTAAATGCTATCAGGTTAGCACATTTTAAGGTGTCTAAACCAATCAATCTTTGACGCCTGAGGAGCAACATAGACAAGTCTGTATTGCAATGTGATCTAGTAGGACCTCTGAGAGAAATATATTTGGTTACACAAGCCTTTGTAGACTTAAGTCTACTTCATCAGATGGTCAGTAATCCTGGCGGCACGCTTGGCCTTTGTGGCACAACACTGCATCCAAGCATATAGTCTGCTCTTCCCAGAGGAAGAATTGCAGGCCCATCACTAAAAGAGACCAAGAGATCACTGAGAACGGCAAGAAACACCAGCCACTGGAGAGTAAACACCTTCAAGTTTCCACAGAACAAGGTGTAAGTGTGGGTGAGGTTTTGCATCAAGGAAGGGACAGTACAGTCCAGGCATGGGCAAACTTTGGTCCTCCAGGTGTTTTGGACTCCAACTCCCACAATTCCTAATAACCAGTCTAAGAGAACATGTAAGGAGCACTGACCAATCTACTTTCTCTGCTGTGGAACCGCTTCTACCCTAGAATCATAGAGTTGGAAGAGACCTCATAGGCCATCCAGTCCAACCCCATTCTGCCAAGAAGCAGGAATATTGCATTCAAATCACCCCTGACAGATGGCCATCCAGCCTCTGTTTAAAAGCTTCCAAAGAAGGAGCCTCCACCACACTCGGGGCAGAGAGTTCCACTGCTGAACGGCTCTCACAGTCAGGAAGTTCTTCCTCATGTTCAGATGGAATCTCCTCTCTTGTAGTTTGAAGCCATTGTTCAGCGTCCTAGTCTCCAGGGAAGCAGAAAACAAGCTTGCTCTCTCCTCCCTGTGGCTCCCCTCCACTTAGGCAGGAAAAACGAAATGCAAAGATACAGAATGGGGGACAATATATGGCTCGAGATCTATGTGAAATAGATCTTGGAGTCCTCGTGGACAACAAGTTAAACATGAGTCAACAATGTGATGTGGCGGCAAAAAAGCCAATGGGATTTTGGCCTGCATCAATAGGAACATAGTGTCTAGGCCCAGGGAAATAATGCTACCCCTCTATTCCGCTTTGGTGAGACCACATCTGGAATATTGTGTCCAATCCTGGGTACCACAATTGAAGAGAGATATTGACAAGCTGGAATGTCTCGAGAGGAGGGCGACTAAAATGACCAAGGGTCTGGAGAACAAGCCCTATGAGGAGCGGCTTAAAGAGCTGGGCATGTTTAGCCTGAAGAAGAGAAGGCTGAGAGGAGACATGATAGCCATGTATAAATACGTGAGAGGAAGTCATAGGGAGGAGGGAGCAAGCTTGTTTTCTGCTGCCCTGGAGACTAGGACACGGAACAATGGCTTCAAACTACAAGAAAGGAGATTCCATCTGAACATTAGGAAGAACTTCCTGACTGTGAGAGCCGTTCAGCAGTGGAACTCTCTGCCCCGGAGTGTGGTGGAGGCTCCTTCTTTGGAAGCTTTTAAACAGAGGCTGGATGGCCATCTGTCAGGGGTGATTTAAATGCAATATTCCTGCTTCTTGGCAGGGGGTTGGACTGGATGGCCCATGAGGTCTCTTCCAACTCTTTGATTCTATTGATTCTATGATTCTATGAATCCTTCTGCCTATGTTGCTGTTCATTCGTTCCGTCGTTGCCGACTCTTCGTGACCTCATGGACCAGCCCACGCATGTGAAAATTTGCAAACCTTCTCTCTCTTTACATATAACAGGGCACAGCCGTATCCTTGGAATTCGTGACGCCGAGGAATTCACATGATCAATACTAATCTACAGCTGCCAAATTCTTCCTAAATGTACATCGAGGGGTCCAATGGACATGAAACACCCATTTTTGGGGCAGGGAGTCAACTGGAGGCAGTTCAAGTGGAATCTGGAAAGGTTGCATATTGATGAATAAGTCTCTCTGCATGAATAACTGAGGTTTGCTGAGGTATGAGCTCCGGCTGTTGCTCTTCGTACATTCCTTTACATCAGGCATGGGCCAAATTTGGGTTAGCCAATGTGTTTCCTCTGATGCAAAATGAGGAGTCTCTTCTCCGCGTAGCCCTTTCCGCACACAAAGCAGACGTACGACTTCTCCCCGGAGTGAATCATCAGGTGCCTGCTGAGGTTGGACCTCTGCGTGAATTTCTTCCCGCACTCCAGGCACTGGAAGGGCTTCGCTCCGGTGTGGATCAGGATGTGCGCGTTCAGGGTCGACTTCTGGCTGAAGGTCTTCCCGCATTCCAGGCAGATGTAGGGCTTGTTCCCCGTGTGGTTGAGCTGGTGGGTCCGGAGGCTCTTCTCTTCCACGAAGCTCTTGCCGCACTCCTGGCACTTGTAGGGATTCTCCCAGGCGTGGATGGTTTGGTGCCGCTTGAGGTTGGACTGGTGGCTGAAGCTCTTCCCACAGTCCAGGCACTTGTAGGGCCGCTCCCCGGTGTGCTTAACTTGGTGCAAAATGAGGCCGGAGCTGTAGCTAAAGCCTTTCCCGCACTCCTGGCACTTGTACGGCTTCTCCCCCGTGTGGATGGAGACGTGGGAGTTGAAGATGGACTTCCGGGTGAAACTCTTCCCGCACTCCTCGCATTTGAAGGGCTTCTCGCCCGAGTGGTTCATTCGATGTCCGACAAGGTCTCGCTTCTCAGAAAAGCCTTTGCCGCACTCGGGGCACTTGTGGGGTTTCTCGCCGGTGTGGACGATTTCGTGCCTCTTCAGATGGGACTGCTGGCTGAAGCTCTTTCCGCACTCCTCGCATTTGTAAGGTTTGTCGCCCGTGTGGTTCATCAGGTGCGCCGTGAGGTTCCGCTTCTCCGTAAAGGCCTTCCCGCACTCCAGGCATTTGAAGGGCTTCTCCCCCGTGTGAACAATCTGGTGTCTCTTGAGGTGCGACCGCTGGTTGAACTGCTTCCCACACTCCTGGCATTTGAATGCCTTCTCTTCTGTGCAAAGAAAGAAATCATCAACATTATCAATGCGGAAATACTAGAAACAAAAATTTATTTATTTAGTACATTTCTATACCACCCCTCTCAGCCTTCCGGAGGCTTGAGGCGGTATTCAAGGCAAGAATTCAATGCCACAAAGGACACAATTACAATATACAATATAAAAACATCAGCAACAATAACATCAAACATTATAATGAAACATACTTCAATCGATAATCATTAAAACAATGTCCAGTTCTGCCATATAGTTATTCCATTATTATATCCGTTACTCCGTATTTTCAAATGCCTGCTCAAATAGCCATGTCTTAAGATTCTTCTGGAATGATAGGAGTGAGGAAGCCGATCTAATCTCCCTAGGAAGGGTGTTCCACAGCCGAGGGGCCACCACTGAGAAGGCCCTGTCTCTCATTCCCGCCAACCGTACTTGTGATGATGGTGGGACCGAGAGCAGGGCCTCTCCAGATGATCTTAAAGTCCTCGCAGGTTCTTAAGGGGAGATTTGTTCGGACAGGTAAGTTGAGCCAGAAGATCATAGATCAGTGGTTCTCAACCTGGGGATCCTCACCTCTGCAGGAGTCTACCGTATACCATGCAGCTGTGGACAAGTCTACATAGGGACCACCAAACGCAGCAGCATTGCCCAAACACGAATCAAGGGACATGAAAGGCACTGCAGACTACTTCAACCAGAGAAGTCAGCCATAGCAGAGCACCTGATGAACCAGCCTGGACACAGCATATTATTTGAGAACACAGAAATGCTGGACCACTCTCACAACCACCATGTCAGACTACACAGAGAAGCCATTGAAATCCACAAGCATGTGGACAATTTCAACAGAAAGGAAGTAACCATGAAAATGAACAAAATCTGGCTACCAGTATTAAAAAAAACTCAAAAATTACAACAGCAAAACAACAGAGAGGAAACAATCAGGCACATCAAATCACTCTCAACAAAAGATTCCCCCCAGGCACTTCCAAGCCATTAAATGCTAATCAAGGTGGTCAGTTGAAACATTCACACCTAGCTCCAGCAGACAAGAGTCCTTTGTCCCACCCTGGTCATTCCACAGATATATAAACCCTTTTTCCTAGTTCCAACAGACCTCACTACCTCTGAGGATGCTTGCCATAGATGCAGGCGAAACGTCAGGAGAATGCCTCTAGAACATGGCCATATAGCCCAAAAAAACCCACAAGAAACAACAACAACATCAGTTTTAAAAATATAGGGAGCCACATCCATTTTGACAAAAAAAAAACCTAACAAAAAACAGAGAGACACGTCACTGTCATCCTGATCAAAATCAAAGAGTAGCATGATCTAAAAGTACTAAGAACAGTTCTTAAAATGTTCTCAGTGTTGTGAAGCTTTATTTTAGACCATTGTATGACAGGCTGACGTCACTTATTATGACTAATATAGTCACAAGGCTACACAAAAAACTGCTTCTGCTCTCGTAGTCTCCTTGTTGGTCAAATAAGATTTTAATAAAGAGGAAGGAAGATGACTTGCAAATGAATATGGTGGCTTCATTAAATGACAAACTACCTTCCCTGTCTGAAGAGAAGTCAACGAGAATTCCATGTATTGCAATTAGCAAATATTCTCACTCAAGAGAAAATCAAGCTGGACTGACCGGCCAAACCTCCAACTTACCTGCTTCCAGAGAGTTAGAATTGGACTCTTCTGTGGTTGATGAGGATGGCTCCAGCCCTTGGGTCACTGACTCCAGGCAGCTGCTATCTGTAAAGGAAACATAGCCATGTGTTTTTTTGTTTTTTGCTTTTCATCAGGATCTCGTTATGTTAATTATGGGAGAAGAACATACAGGCAGCCCTTTGCGGAGGTTAGGGGTAGAGAAGATCCATGAAAATTAAAAGACACAAAGAAATTGCTATTTCTAGGCCTTTCTGTTGCAGCCCAGCCACCTATGTGACTCTCTTTCACCCAAGATGAAGAGCTAATTAGCCCAAATATAACTCAGTCAACAGGAATCAACCAACTAATTATTAAAAGTGTTCTATATAAAAAAAAAACTGGTTCAAAAATATATTCCAGGTACGCTTAAAAGGCAAAAGACAGTACATCCGAAGTATAAGCTTCAAAAGTCATTCCAAAATCTAGGTTACTGCCAGTTTTCTTGAGGCAGTAATAAATGAAATCCCATACTGACAGTAAAGCCAAAACCCACAAAATTTAGATCAATAATAATAATAATAATAATAATAATAATAATTATCATCTTTATTTATTCCCCACCACCATCTCCCCAATGGGGACTTGGGGCGGCTAACATGAGGCCAAGCCCAAAAATGCAATACAACACAATAAAATACAGAATACAGAAAACAAAAAAATACATCAGAAGATAATTACAATATCAAAATAAAATAATAAAGCAAATTCACACAAACTAGATTCCCCAATCTCAAAGAGGAAAACATGACATGTGTTGGAGATAACTACTTTCTCAAGCCTCCTCTATGTAATGTTTTTCTGTTTATAATGTGATTTATTTCCTGAAGTGTATGTCTTATTTGGTTTGCAGTTTCCTTAGCTCTATTTACTTGAGGCAGTGGGAGGGGCTGCAGATCACATCATTGTTTAGAGTGCAGTTTAAACATGACGACAGTTGAGGAATGACAGTTAAGCCTTGAATACAGAAGTCTGTTTTTCAGTCAGATGTCAGTGTAGTTAGAAAACTGTTGATGCTTGAATTCCTTTGAAAGTAGACTCTTATGAAAGAGAACTGTACAGAGCAATATAGTTTTTTGAAGAGACTGATAAAGACTGTAAGTTAATGATACAAACTGAAATGTTTTAAAGTTTAACCTGACAGGAAATGTACCTGCATATTATATACATGAAGTTGTGAGTAAAACAAACATGTTATTTTAAAGAAGTCTGCTTGAATATTCGTCTGCTGAAAGCATTGAATAGAAACAAGATATTTACATGCCCAGTGATAATCCATTACCCAATAAACTAAAGAAACACTTCTGAAACTCTGCTACCCAATAGGTTATGATCCTAACGGGTCGTAATCCTTATCCCAATAACATAAAAGCAAGGTCAGCATCTCCACTCACGGAAAACAAGAAAAAGGTGACTTTCTTTGGAAAATACAAAGTTGCTCTCACACAGAGCAATCCAAGAAATCAAATTGGTTCCCATGGAGACACTAACTAACACCCGGAATCCCTCTGTTTATCTTTCAAATGCTGAGAAAACCTTAACTGCCTCTGCTTGGCACTATCTTGCCATAACTGAAGACGCTGAGTTATGGGCAACAATCCAGCATCTTCCACCTCCATCAAATCTTTCCCAGGGTCAGGGAGAATCTCTGGAATCCCACAAAAACAAACGGTAGAAGAAAAGAAACATATACTGGCAGATTATGTGAAAGACAGTCAAGAGCCAAAATTGATGGAAATCAATAGTAGTAAACTGCTTCAAGCGCAAAAGACAAAGAGGGAATACTGTAAAAATACAATACAGTGCAGAAAAGAAAACTGGTGAAATAAGGCTCTCCATGAACAGTTCCTGGGAAAAACTGAGAGCAAAATTGACAAAGAAAAAACATGGCTGTGGCTCACAAATGGAACTTCGAAAAAGGAGACAAAGGAGGGCCTGATCCTGGCAGCCCAAGAACAAGCCATTAGAACCAATGCAACCAAAGCCAGAATTGAAAAGTCGACGACAGATCCCAAATGTACACTCTGCAAGGAAGCAGATGAAACAACTGAACTCATTCTCAGCTGCTGCAAGAAGATCGCGAAGACAGACTACAAGCAGAGGCACAACACCGTTGCTCAGATTATTCATTTGGAACTTGTGCCACAAATACCATCTACCTGCGACAAAGAACGGGTGGGATCACAGGCTGGAAAAAGTTACAGAAAATGAACACGTCAAACTCCTCTGGGACTTCCGAATTCAGACTGACAGAGTTTTGGAATACAAGACTCCTGACCTCACAATCGTGTTAAAAAACAAAGTATGGGTTGTCGATGTTGCAATCCCAGGTGACAGCAGGATTGCAGAGAAACAACTGGAAAAGTTGACAAGATATGAGGATTTAAAAATCGAACTACAAAGACTGGCACAAGCCAGTTAAGGTGGTCCCAGTGATGGTCGGCACACTGGGTGCAGTGCCTAAACACCTTGGCCTGCACTTAAACACAATCAGCGCTGACAAAATTACCAGCTGCCAGCTGCAAATGGCTACCCTACTGGGATCTGCATGCATTATTCGTTGATACATCACATAGTCCTTGACACTTGGGAAGTGTGCAATGTGTGATCCAATACAACAACCAGCAGAGTGATCTTGTCTGCTGTGGACTCATCTTGTTGTGTTTCAATTAATAAAAACAATAATAATTTCATTTTTTAGAAATGTGTTCTCTCTAAAAAAATAGGTCCTCCAGCATGATTGGAGGAAACTGAATCACACCAAAGGATCTAAAGATTCCCACTGAAAACACTTAAAGCAAATCTCTGAATAATCAAATCCGCCAAAGTCAAAACTACAAACATGGAGTAACAACTTCATAAGGGAACAAGACCAAACTTTACTCGAAAGAAATCAATAGTTAGATTTGTTTTTGGGTTGTCTTTTACACTACTTCAGCATTTGCTTATGAATTTTGCAGTCCTGGCCACTGGTTTGTGGAACTTCTACAATGAAATGTATTTTAATATATTTTAAAGTATTCTTATGTTTAGTGTCTTTAATAGGATTTTGGTATTTTATGCTGCTTTTAGTTGTTATTTTATTCGTTAAGTTAAATTAGGTTGCGTTATATTGTCAAATGTGTAAAAAAAGCACCAATTTCTAAAGCTACTTCAGCTCCCAGCACCACAAATGGAGAACTACTTTGTGATATGAGACAATGTTTAGACCCCAACTCACCAGGTCCTTCATTGCCGAAACTGTCGCAGGATGACTGAGCCTCTGGCGAATTTGGGGAACCATCAGACATGGTGATCACCTCACCTAAAGAGACAAAGAGGGCAGATTTTGCAGGTTTTACCTCCAGGATCATCATCAAACACTCAACACCATTCTGGCACCTGCCAAGCAATAAGTATTCAAATCAGGCATGGGCAAACTCCAGCCCTTCAGATGTTTTGGACTTCAACCTGAACTCCAAAAGTAAATAGAGTGCTTTGGGGTATGAAACCAATTGGAGAATCATGTCGAGGTCCTGACTCACCTGGTCCTTCATCGGCAAAACTGTCACAGGATGACTGAGCCGCTGGCGAAGTGGGAGCGCTGTCAGACACAACGGAAGGACCTAAAGGGACAAACCTAATTTAATCAACCGACACAAGGATGATAGCAATGCTGCATAAAATACTGAAATATTTAGGTCTTCTCTGACAAAGTAAGCCTGAATGATAAAAAAAAATATGCCATCACATGCTAATCAAGGTGGCCAATTGAAACATTCACACTTACCTCAAACAGGCAAGAGTTCTTTCTCCCACCCTGGACATTATTCCACAGATACATAAGCCCCATTTTCCTAGTTGGACCAGGTTGTGGGGCAGCTAGTTGGGAGTCAGCTACATTAAAATCACTACTGACTGAAAGGTCATGAGTTCGAAGCCAGCCTGGATAGGAGTAAGCTCCCAACATTTGTCTAGGTAAACAATGCAGGTTGAGTAATCCCTTAGTAGAAATAATAATAATAATAATAATAATTATTATTATTATTATTATTATTATTATTATTATTATTTATATCCTGCCACCATCTCCCCTAGGGGACTTAGGGCGGCTTACAAAGGCACTCCAAGGTGCAGCATATAACATAAACCATACATGATTATAAAGCAATGTCACATAGAAATTATGAAAACAACCACTATCAACAAATATAATATAAAATACGATTATACAATTGGAACCACAAGTGTTTTGGATTTTTCCCCCCACATTTTGGAATTTGCACATTCATAATGACATATATTTACAAAGTACAAAGTACAAAGTTGAAGTACTTTGGCCACATCATGAGGAGACAGCAAAGCCTAGAGAAGACAATTATGCTGGGGAAAGTAGAAGGCAAAAGGAAGAGTCCTGACCAAGGGCAAGATGGATGGATGGCATCCTTGAAGTGACTGGACTGACCTTGAAGGAGCTGGGGGTGGTGACGGCCAACAGGGAGCTCTGGCGTGGGCTGGTCCATGAGGTCACGAAGAGTCGGAGACGACTGAACGAATGAACAACAACAATGACATATATTAGACATGAATCTCAAGCCTGAATTCATTTATGTTTCATATATACTCTATATACATTTTTAATAATCTATATAGAGTTTAATAATTTTGTGCTTGAAACAAAGCTTAGGATTTGTAGTTTGGTGAGGCACCAGCATTCTCAGGAGTTCGCACACTGAGCCACAGAAGTTAAAGTGGTGTCAAACTGTGTTAACTATACAGTATAGATGCACTCTGAATTATTTATTTATTTATATTTATTTATTGATCAATTTTATATACTGCCACTCCCCAAAGGCTCGAAGTGGTTTACAATATACAATATTAGGACCTCTCTGCTCAGAGGCTGCAAATACGGGTTTCCCAGAAGTAGTAAAATTGGAAAATGTTATAATGTTCTACATAATGTTACCTGATGTATCACATTTAGTTTAAATATTATATCCAAACACATTCAACGTTCTATGTGGACACTACTTTACTGGAATACAGACAGTCCCCAAGTTACAAACATCTGACTCCCAAATGATTCACAGTTGAGACAACCACAAGCAAGGGGAAATCTACCCCTAAGGAGGGGAAATTACCCCTAAGAAGGGAAATTTACTACTTTAACAATTATCATTGGGAAAAGATGTCTCCACTTAAGAGTTATTCCCAATCCTTATTTCCACAACAAGCCAAATTTCTCAAAAGCTAGTGATCATAGTGACAGAAAGTGACGTGAAATCTTCTAAACAAGGGTATAGATGGCAAAATAAACCTTCCCTATGCTATCCAAAGCTATCTATCTATCTATCTATCTATCTATCTGGAGTTACACTGTTCCAACTTATATACAAATATAATGTAGTTATTTATTTATTATTTATTTACTGTATTTGTATACCGCCTTTCTCAGCCAATTGGCAACTCAAGGCGGTTTCCAATAAATCACTATACATAAAAAATAATAGATTAAAAAAAACATTAAACAGTATAAGACATCACAAAAGCAATAAAAGCAACATCATCAGCATCTCATTATTCTCAAGCATTGTCCAATTTATTATTTATTATTTATTTTATTATAAATATAACTTCAGAACAAACCTACAAAACTTATTTTGTTCATAACTTGGGGACTGCCTGTATATAAGAAGATAAAGAGAACATAATATACTTCCTTATAATTAACAACAAATTCTTACCCCTAAAAACACTGCTTTTTAAAGGTCACATACCTAAAGAAAGCCGTACCGGACAGATTTTATAATCAACAGTTTAGCTTTCTTTTGCTGAGGAATAACTGTAGTCTCTTCAGCGCCACTCACTCAGTCTTTCAATTACTTATCAGTATTCATTTCAAGCTGAGAAAAATTAAGTATAATTAGTTGAATGTTTTCTTTATGTTTGAAGATAAAGGCAACTTATTACTCTGCACTTGAGAATGATTGAGAAGTAAGAGGTTTTCAAAAAACTGAAGCAAGCTTAGCAGTCCGTTCATTCTCTGGTTCTTTGTAAACAAGGAATTGTCAAAAGTTTGTCTGTACAGACTTTGCATTTTACATATAACGTGACTGAATAAGGTACAACAGTCCAGACAACTAAGAATAAACACAAATAAGTTTTTTTTTCCCTACAGAGAAATATAGCACTGGAAAAATGTTCTGTTGCTCAGAGCAAGAATTCTGTAAAAGCAGCTCCTCAGAAACACCAACCACAGGTGAATCGCAAGAGAAATGTAGTTTGCAGATTGACAACTGCATGAAACCCACAGCTCAGCCAACAAACCATAGTAAAATTATTTTTTAAAATTACAAACATTATTGAGGTTTCATCCTAAGGCAGGCACGGGCAAACTTTGGCCCTTCCTCCAGGTGTTTTGGACTTCAACACCCACAATTCCTAACAGCCTATGGCTGTTAGGAATTGTGGGTGCTGAAGTCCAAAACACCTGGAGGAAGGGCCAAAGTTTGCCCGTGCCTGCTATAATGGTAAAGAACAAAAGATAAATGTGCCATGCTTTGTCTACCATCTTTGTCAGAGTTATTGAAAGGAAAACCTGTGGCAAGTCGATAAAAACCAACAACAATCTTTGCACTTTTTAGAAAAGTCCAAAGTCACCCTTCTCTGGACACATTCCAGTTTGTAAATATTGGAATATTGGCCCCGAGAGAGATTCATCAAAGAGAAGGAAAAGTTAGGTTACTAACTCCTCAGTGATTCTATCTCAAACATCAATATTACAAAGGGATTGTGGCACAGCTGGCTGAGTGTCAGCTGCATTAAGGTCACTCTGACCAAAAGGTCATGAGTTTGAAGCCAGCCCGGGTTGGAGTGGGTTTCCAACCAATTGTGTAGCCTGTTGTCGACCTTTGCAACCCGAAAGACAGTTGCATCTGTCAAGTAGGAAAATTAGGTACCACCTTAAAAGTGTGGGGAGGCTAAATTAACTGATTTATGAGGCCATAAAGAAGACTCCAGCAAAGCATTCCAGCGGGGAAGCATGCGGGGAATGCGGAAGTGCTTCATCAGCGTCGCAGATGGACGATGAAAGCGACAGCTCCCCTGGCGGCCAGAAAAAGTTAAATAGCCTCTGTGTATGTCTGTATAAGTTTGTATGTCAAAAATTGGCATTGAATGTTTGCCATATATGTGTACACTGTAATCCGCCCTGAGTCCCCTGCGGGGTGAGAAGGGCGGAATATAAAAGCTGTAAATAAATAAATAAGGGGTAAGTATCACAGACATATTGCTCTCTTAAGTCACCAAAGCCATATCTGAGTCGCCCTGAGGGCTGAGAAGAGAGGTATCTGGCAAATCTATCAGGATAAAGATTGCTTTGAAGACTGGGATGGGAGTTGAGTTCCCTCAGCTAAAGAATCAATTTAGTTAATTCCCCCTTCACAAGTCTTGGAGAATAACAACAGATTTCTCCTGCAAGACTAGAAGACGTCAACTCAGGACAATGGAATAGAACAAATCTGCAAAACGAAAAAGATAAGTATTTTCTACCCCTTGCAAACTGACAAGAGGACTCCTTACCAAGAGATGTCATGACCCCGTCGCTCTCTTCCATGTCTTTGCAAGACCCTTTGAAAGATGCAGGGGGAAGCTACTCCTTGACAAAAGATACAAACACTTCCTTTGAGGTCACCTGAAAGAAGAAAAGATTGTCTGTTCACTGATAAATCAGCTCATCTTATTTCTAAACAGAATCCAAAACCATATTTAAGCAGAAACACATGGTGTTATCTCATAGTAAAGGTAAAGGTTGTCCCGACATGAAGTCCAGTCATGTCCAGTGGTATTTATTTATCGTGTCAGAGCAACCAGTCCATTATATATTACATTTCTAACAGAACAAAGCAAACAAACAGAAAAATACACAACTTGTGAGTTTGGTAGTTGGTTAAATGTCCTTTGACCAGTATCTGGCCACTTGGAGTGCCTCTGGTGTTGCTGCAAGAAGGTCCTCCATTGTGCATGTGGCAGGGCTCAGGTGGCATTGCAGCAGGTGGTCAGTGGTTTGCTCTTCTCCACACTCGCATGTTGTGGATTCCACTTTGTAGCCCCATTTCTGAAGGTTGGCTCTGCACCTCGTGGTGCCAGAGTGCAGTCTGTTCAGTGCCTTCCAAGTCGCCCAGTCCTCTGTGTGCCCAGGGGGGAGTCTCTCATTTGGTATCAGCCATTGGTTGAGGTTCTGGGTTTGAGCCTGCCACTTTTGGACTCTCGCTTGCTGAGGTGTTCCAGCGACTGTCTCTGTAGATCTTAGAAAACTATGTCTAGATTTAAGTCGTTGACGTGCTGGCTGATACCCAAACAGGGGATGAGCTGGAGATGTCTCTGCCTTGGTCCTTTCACTATTGGCTGCTACTTCCCGGCGGATGTCAGGTGGTGCAATACCGGCTAAGCAGTGTAATTTCTCCAGTTGGTGTGGGGCGCAGACACCCCGTGATAATGCGGCATGTCTCATTAAGAGCCACATCCACTGTTTTAGTGTGGTGAGATGTGTTCCACACCGGGCAGCAGAGTAGCACAGCGCAAGGGCAGATGTTCACCTACAATCAAAGAGCATTCTGAACCCCAGAAATTATAGAATTGGGCCAAAATTCCCACTCAGAATCCCCAAGACTGACAGAAAACACTGTGTTTTCTGATGGTCTTTGGTGACCCCTCTGAAACCCGACCCCAAGGTTGAGAAACACTGCAGTAACTGGATGGCCATCTGTCTGGGGTGCTTTGACGGTGTCTTCCCTGCATGGAGGCAGCAAGAAGGGGGCTGGACTGGATGGCCTCTTGGGGTCCCTTCCAAGTCTAGCATCCTCTGAGTGGAGCCTTCATTGCTCCTTTGTTTGGGCTGCTATGGGTACATCCACACTGTAGAATTAACGCAGATTGACACCACTTTGTGGAAGAGAAGGTTGTCGCAAAATGGCTGCTGGGGGGGAGGGAGGCGACCCTGAGAAAATGGCTGCCACTCTGTGGGAGTGGGAGAGGAGGCCTCCTGAGATACACCAAACATACAAAATGGAGACTGCTTCAATACATTATATTATTTCCCCTCCATAGCAAGGAGGAAGGCTTGGGCCTGTTCTTGGCCTTCCCTTCTTTGGTCAAGCATTTCCTTCTGTCCCTTCCCTACTCCTGGGAGGCCAGGACTCACCTGAAGCCTTCCCTCCAAGGCCCTCCTTCACGAAAAGCAGGCCTGACGCGGAGAAAGATGCCAAAGCTCCTCTCCAGGCGCCTCCCTGACGGAAATGAGGACCACTTCCGCCCGGCACCGCCGCTCTAGGCAACCACTTCCGGTTTCCTCCGCCATGAGAAAATACAGTAGCCAAGCGCCTCCCTGACGGAAATGAGGACCACTTCCGCCCGGCACCGCCGCTCTAGGCAACCACTTCCGGTTTCCTCCGCCATGAGAACTTACAAAGCCTTCGATGGTTTTTTTTGGACTCCATTTCCCAGAAGCCTCTGCCACCTCAGCCAACGGCTAGGAACCCTGGGAGATAGAGTCCAAAACAACAAATGGGCGCTACCTTTGATTAGTGCCAATTCCTTGGCCTTGGTGGGTAGATTCTTGATTGTTGCCATTGTGTGGATTCAGGTTCTTTCTCTTCTCAAGCTCAGAGTACTGTTGGAAGAGATCCCAGAGGGCATCCAGTCTAACCCCCTTTCTGCCATGCAGGAAACACAAGCAAAGCCCTCTCAACAGATGGCCAGCTGGATTTTGCTTAAATACTTCCAGAGAAGGAGGCTCCATCTCACTCTAAACCAGGCATGGGATGGCTTGGGCCCTCCAGGTGTTTTGGACTTCAACTCCCACAATTCCTAACAGCCTACTGGCTGGTCTGTGACTCTTTTTGCATTTGGACTTTGGGTGCTAGGTAAAATCCGCTGCTGCGCAACAGTCTTTGCTTCTTCCAGGATGCTGACATTTCCTCACCTGTCTTCCCAAGAGATTTGCAGGATTTTCCGGAGGCAACGCTGATGGAATCGTTCCAGGAGTTGCGTATGACATCTGTAGACAGTCTGTCTCCAGGCATCTCTCTCTCTCTCTATATATATATATATATATATACTGTGTGTGTGTGTGTGTGTGTGTGTGTGTGTGTGTGTGTGTGTGTGTATGTGCTTATGCTGCGGAACCTAGACTGTCTACAGATGTCATACGCAACTCCATATATATATATATATATATATGCCTGCGGAACCTAGACTGTCTACAGATGTCATACGCAACTCCATATATATATATATAATGCCTGCGGAACATAGACTGTCTACCGATGTCATACGCAACTCCTTATATATATATATATATATATATATATATATATATATGATCTCTGAAATGTCCAAGGTGGGAGAAAGAACCCTTGTCTGTGCGAATGTTGCAGTTAGCAAGCTTAAATGGCATTGAGCAGCCGTGAAGCTGCAAAGTCCATCAGTGAGGGTATCTGGCTTTGAACTAGTGCCAGATACCCTCACTTCCCAAGAGATTTGCTGGAATTTTTTGGAGGCAACACTGATGGAATCGTTCCAGGAGTCGCGTATGACATCTGTAGACAGTCTACGTTTTGCAGGCATATATCTGAAATGTCCAGGGTGGGAGAAAGAACCCTTGTCTGTGAATGTTGCCATTAGCAGCTTAAATAGCATTGAGCAGCCGTGAAGCTGCAAAGTCCATCAGTGAGGGTATCTGGCTTTGAACTAGTGCCAGATACCCTCACTTCCCAAGAGATTTGCAGGAATTTTTTGGAGGCAACGCTGATGGAATCGTTCCAGGAGTTGCATATGACATCTGTAGACAGTCTACGTTTCGCAGGCATATATATATATATATCTGAAATGTCCAGGGTGGGAGAAAGAACCCTTGTCTGCGTGAATGTTGCAGTTAGCAAGCTTAAATAGCATTGAGCAGCCATGAAGCTGCAAAGTCCATCAGTGAGAGTATCTGGCTTTGAACAAGTGCCAGATACCTCACTTCCCAAGAGATTCACATGAATCTTTTGGAGGCAACACTGATGGAATCGTTCCAGGTGTTGCGTATGACATCTGTAGACAGTCTACGTTTCGTAGGCATATCTGAAATGTCCAAGGTGGGAGAAAGAACCCTTGTCTCCGTGAATGTTGCAGTTAGCAAGCTTAAATAGCATCGAGCAGCCATGAAGCTGCAAAGTCCATCAGTGAGGGTATCTGGCTTTGAACTAGTGCCAGATACCCTCACTTCCCAAGAGATTTGCCGGAATATTTTGGAGGCAACGCTGATGGAATCGTTCCAGGAGTTGCATATGACATCTGTAGACAGTCTACATTTCGCAGGCATATATATATATATATCTGAAATGTCCAGGGTGGGAGAAAGAACCCTTGTCTGCGTGAATGTTGCAGTTAGCAAGCTTAAATAGCATTGAGCAGCCGTGAAGTTGCAAAGTCCATCAGTGAGGGTATCAGGCTTTGAACTAGTGCCAGATACCCTCACTTCCCAAGAGATTTGCAGGAATTTTTTGGAGGCAATGCTGATGGAATCGTTCCAGGAGTTGCATATGACATCTGTAGACAGTCTACGTTCCGCAGGCATATATATATATATATCTGAAATGTCCAGGGTGGGAGAAAGAACCCTTGTCTGTGCGAACCCTTGTCTAGCAAGCTTAAATAGCATTGAGCAGCCGTGAAGTTGCAAAGTCCATCAGTGAGGGTATCAGGCTTTGAACTAGTGCCAGATACCCTCACTTCCCAAGAGATTTGCAGGAATTTTTTGGAGGCAATGCTGATGGAATCGTTCCAGGAGTTGCATATGACATCTGTAGACAGTCTACGTTCCGCAGGCATATATATATATATATATATATATATATATATATATATATATATATATATATCTGAAATGTCCAGGGTGGGAGAAAGAACCCTTGTCTGTGCGAACCCTTGTCTAGCAAGCTTAAATAGCATTGAGCAGCCGTGAAGCTGCAAAGTCCATCAGTGAGGGTATCTGGCTTTGAACTAGTGCCAGATACCCTCACTTCCCAAGAGATTTGCCAGAATATTTTGGAGGCAACACTGATGGAATCGTTCCAGGTGTTGCGTATGACATCTGTAGACAGTCTACGTTTCGTAGGCATATCTGAAATGTCCAAGGTGGGAGAAAGAACCCTTGTCTCCGTGAATGTTGCAGTTAGCAAGCTTAAATAGCATCGAGCAGCCATGAAGCTGCAAAGTCCATCAGTGAGGGTATCTGGCTTTGAACTAGTGCCAGATACCCTCACTTCCCAAGAGATTTGCCGGAATATTTTGGAGGCAACGCTGATGGAATCGTTCCAGGAGTTGCATATGACATCTGTAGACAGTCTACATTTCGCAGGCATATATATATATATATCTGAAATGTCCAGGGTGGGAGAAAGAACCCTTGTCTGCGTGAATGTTGCAGTTAGCAAGCTTAAATAGCATTGAGCAGCCGTGAAGTTGCAAAGTCCATCAGTGAGGGTATCAGGCTTTGAACTAGTGCCAGATACCCTCACTTCCCAAGAGATTTGCAGGAATTTTTTGGAGGCAATGCTGATGGAATCGTTCCAGGAGTTGCATATGACATCTGTAGACAGTCTACGTTCCGCAGGCATATATATATATATATCTGAAATGTCCAGGGTGGGAGAAAGAACCCTTGTCTGTGCGAACCCTTGTCTAGCAAGCTTAAATAGCATTGAGCAGCCGTGAAGCTGCAAAGTCCATCAGTGAGGGTATCTGGCTTTGAACTAGTGCCAGATACCTCACTTCCCAAGAGATTTGCAGGCATTTTTTGGAGGCAACGCTGATGGAATCGTTCCAGGAGTCGTGTATGACATCTGTAGACAGTCTCCATTTCGCAGGCGTATATATATGTGTGTGGGTGTGTGTCTATGTCCAGGGTGGGAGAAAGAACCCTTGTCTGCCTGAATGTTGCAGTTAGCAAACTTAAATAGCATTCAGCAACCATGAAGCTGCAAAGTCAGATACCCCCACCTATCAGTGAGGGTATCTGGCTTTGAACCAGTGCAGGAGTCTACTATATACCGTGCAGCGGTGGACATGTCTACATAGAGTCCACCAAACACAGCATCCAGACACACCAAAGCAGGTTAAACTGCCAGCTGCAGAAATTCTTGCCAATTGAAAGGTTTGCAGTTCAAGTCTGGGTCGGGGTGAGCTCCCGGCTGTCAGCCCAGCTTCTGCTCACCTAGTGAATTGAAAACAGCAATGTGAGTAGATAAATAGATAAATGTGAGTAGATAAATAGGTACTGCTTTAAGCGGGGGGGGGGGGTAATAAAAAGGACCTGGCTGTGGCGCAGTTAGCTATGAGTCAGCTGCATTAAATCACCACTGACCGAGTTCAAAGCCCCAATGAGTTCAAAGCCCCAATGAGACGGTTCCACTCATTTTCCTTTTTTATTTTAAAAATCCATGGTCTGTACATACAAATTGAATAAAAGTGGGGGATAAGAGGAGATGGCAAGACCAAGGCAAAGAAATAGGTGTTATAGATTACTATCTACAGAATACGCGGATGGCAGTAGGACAGACAGACATTTGGAGAGACTCAAGTCCTTGGAATAATGAATGAAAGACAGAAGAATGCTTTTTTTCCCCCTTCCAAACTCTCTCTACTCCCACGGGGCTCCCCACAACTAACGAGTGACCTCTCAATGGCTACTCCACAGGGCATACGACATGCACTTCTACAAATTCCAACCACATTTCTAGAAGAAAACATCGATTTGTGTTGAATCCCTTCTAATTCCGGATTGGAGACACCACAAATGAAAAGCCTGCGCGGCATGTGATTTCTCCTTGGAATAAATAGTTCAGAGTCTGCTAAGGCTTGAAGCTCTTTGGAAACTCCAGGTGTGTTGTATGGTTTTGCTCCAGTAGAATCCATGAGTTTCCTATTGTGATAAAGCTTTTTCCACGCTCCAGAAATATATATCTATATATCTCTCCTATATAATCATGTATAAGTCTAGAAATTTCAGTTTAAAAAAATTAACTTATCCAAAGGTCGATGCAGGTTAACAGTTTTTAATGAGGATTTTTAAAATACTGTTTATATTTAATGGCTCCCTTGTGGTGCAGCAGGTTAAATTGCTGAGCTGCTGAACTTGCTGACCAAAAGGTTGGCGCTTCAAACTCAGGAAGCGGGGTGAGCTCCCACTGGTAGGCCCAGCTTCTACCAACCTAGCAGTTCGAAAACATGCAAATGTGAGTAGATCAATAGGTACCGCTTCGATGGGAAGCTGCTTTGAGTCTCCTTCGAGAGAGACAAAGTGGGGTGTAAATAAATATATTGGGTTGTTGTAGGTTTTTTGGGGCTATATGGCCATGTCCTAGAGGCATTCTCTCCTGACGTTTCACCTGCATCTATGGCAAGCATTCTCAGAGGTAGTGAGGTCTGTTGGAACTTCTCTGCCAGGCCATCCAATGCTAATCAAGGTGTCTATGGACAAACAAAGCTCCTCCGCATGGAGCGACAGCACCACCTTGTGGCCGGAGTCGAGCACAGCCTCAAGATGCCAGAAATGGGAAAAGATGGGAAATGCCTATACCTTCGTTTATGTATTGTCTGTCCTTGTTAATTGTATAACAGCACTGAATGTTTGCCATATATGTGTACTGTAATGCGCCTGGAGTCCCCTCGGGGAGATAGAGTGGAATGTAAACAAAGTATATGAGGCAAGTGAAGTATATTTATATATCTGTGGACTTTTGTTAGTTCTAATAGTTTTGATTGTTCAATTAATTAATTAATATTTGTTTAATTAATTAATATTTGATGTGTATTGTCGAAGGCTTTCATGGCCAGAATCACTGGGTTGTTGTAGGTTTTTTTCGGGCTATATGGCCATGGTCTAGAGGCATTCTCTCCTGACGTATCGCCTGCACCTATGGCAAGCATCCTCAGAGGCAGCGAGGTCTGTTGGAACTAGGTAAATGGGTTTATGTATCGGTGGAATGACCAGGGTGGGACACAGAACTCTTGTCTGTTGCACTAACAAGCCACACCAAACAACCGCCAGGCCATCAAATGCTAATCAAGGTGGTCAGTTGAAACATTCACACCTAGCCCCAGCAGACAAGAGTCCTTTGTCCCACCCTGGTCATTCCACAGATATATAAACCCTTTTTCCTAGTTCCAACAGACCTCACTACCTCTGAGGATGCTTGCCATAGATGCAGGTGAAATGTCAGGAGAGAATGCTTCTAGAACATGGCCATATAGCCCGAAAATACCTACAACAACCTATTTAATTATTTAATGTATTTTAATGGTTGACTGTTTAATATGCAAAGTTTAGCTCTACTGCAATGTGTGTATGTTTTCTAGGTTTTGAATCAAACATTGTATTGCTTTGACTCTTACGATCTCTTACTCAAGAGAGATAAAGCGAGATACAAATAATGCTACTACAGTGTTCCCTTATTTATCGCAAGGGTTACGTTCCAGGACGACCCGCAATAAGTGAAAATCCATGAAGTTGAGACACTTACAGTATATGTACAGTATACATACGTATACATATGTCCCCCGTCCGCCCTCCCTCTGGAAGATGTCCCCCCCTCAATCAATCTCTCTCTGTCTAATCTAATCACCTCTCAACAAAAGATTGCTCCAGGCACTGCAAGGCCATCAAATGTTAATCAAGGTGGTCTGTTGAAACATTCACACCTAGCTCCAGCAGACAAAAGTCCTTTGTCTCACTCTGGTCATTCCACAGGTATATAAACTCTTTTTTCCTAGTTCCAACAAGCCTCACTACCTCTGAAGATGCTTGCCATAGATGCAGGTGAAACGTCAGGAGACAATGCCTCCAGACCTTGGCCATATAGCCCAAAAAAACCTACAAAAACCCAATCTCTCTCTGTGTCTGTCTGGGTGCTGCTGGCCGCTGCTTCCCCTCCGCTTCAAGCTCGCATCCAGCTTGAGCTCCATGATGCATGTGCGGTGGTGCCGAGGAGGAGGAGGAAGGTAAAGAGGGTGAGGAGGCTGCGCTTTTGCAGAGATCCATCCATCTGCTCCTCCTTCCTCCTCCAGTGTTCCCTCGCTACCTGTATACGGTACTGTATTTTAAATTCATTTTTTAAAAACCCCGCGAAATAGCAAGTCCGCAAAAAGCGAACCCCGAAGTAGCGAGGGAACACTAATTTTTGAATGCATGGGCATCTCTGCAGAATGGCCCTTGACTTATTCACAAGTCATTCCAAAACCTATTAATTGTGCTCCCAAAACCGATCTTCGACTTATACATGGATATATACCAGGCATGGGCAAACTTTGGCCCTCCCTCCAGGTGTTTTGGACTACAACTCCCACATTTTTTAAGACCTGACCAGCTCTTAGGAGTTATTGTGGGAGTTGAAGCCCAAAACACCTGGAGGGCGAGGCTGAAGTTTGCCCCACCTGGTGTATACGGTATATATGGATTTCTGGAGAGTGATCTCAGCCAAAAGCTCTTCCTGGTCTTTAGGCATTGGAGTGGTCTCTCTCCCAACACGATTCATCTGAGCTCGCCTCAAAGCGTTTCCCACAAATTGTGAAAAACAGTGTGAATCCTCTGGTGCGTGCTGAGGTGCGACTTGTGCGAGAAGCCCTTCCCACACTCGGAGCACTTGTAAGGCTTCTCGCGGTTGTGCGTTCGCTGGTGGGAGGCGAGCTTGATCTTGTCGGTGAAGGTCTTCCCGCACTCGAGGCACTGGCAAGGCCCCTCACCTTTGGAACTGGCCTGGTGGATCATGAGATTGCGCCGGTGACGGAAAGCCTCCCCGCAGTCCGAGCACTTGAAGGGCTTCTCCCCCGTGTGGATGCGCTGGTGGCTGGTGAGGCTCGGCCGGTAGCAGAAGCTCTTCCCGCAGTCCAAGCACTTGTAGGGCCGCTCCCCGGTGTGCAACCGCTGGTGCCGCTTGAGGGACGACCGGTGGCAGAAGCTCTTCCCGCACTCCATGCACTTGGAGGGCTTCTCGCCCGTGTGGATGCTCTGGTGGGCGATCAGGAGGTACCGCCAGTGGAAGCACTTCCCGCACTGAGTGCACTCGAAGATCTTCTCCTCGGTGTGCTTCCTCATGTGGGCATAAAGGCTCGACTTCCAGAGGAAGCACTTGCCGCACACGGCGCACTTCCAGCTCTCCTCGCTCTCCTCCGTGTTTTCGTCGTCCGGGATTTCCCAGATTTCTGGATCCTCCACAGTGGGGAATCGGCTCTGTGGTTCCAGTTCTCCCTCGGTGTCGATGCTCAATTCTTCATCTTCCTTCCAACTAGCATTTTCCAACCAGGTTAGGCATGGTTCGTCTTTGTTTTGGCCACCTGGGATGGAGAGAAGCAACTGATTAGAAAAGGCATGTACAAACTGTTGGAATTCAATCCCACACTGCCCAAGTCTCAAGTCCTCAATGAGGAGTAGTTAGTTTAGTTTAGGCTGGGAGAATTTCCTTCCCCCATGTCACCTGTATCAGTTATTTATTTATTTATGTATCCTAATGGCCAGCAGGCTGTTAGGAATTCTGGGAGTTGAAGTCCAAAACACCTGGAGGGCCCAAGTTTGCCCATGCCTGGCTTAGACCCTTAATGCAACACAAGGGATCCGTACCAAGGGGAGCCGTGTCACCAAGCGAGGCCACCATCCCGTAATTCTCCTCCGTGACTTCCTTGTGCAAGGCCCTTTGCTCCGGATCCAGGAGGGCCCACTCCTCAGGAGTGAAACCCACAGCCAGTTCATCCAGGGTCACCTAAAACAAGACAAGACGATCTGCTCAGGGACCAATAACATGTCAGAAATATTAAAAAATTAACTAGGTATTTTTAATTACAAAATTAAACGAGAACTGAAAGGATTAAATGGATGCAATGACTCAGCGAAAACTGCAGTCTTATATAAGCATTTGTGCCTGCAGTTTAGTAGCCATCAGTCTGAGGCAAACCTCAGTGGGAGAAAGGTCTCAGTTTGTGAGAAGGCCTCACAGTGTGAAGTAGGCCTTAGTCTGTGAGAGAAGATCTCATAGTGTGAGGTAGGCCTTAGTCTGTGTGAAAAGGACTCACAGTGCGAGGTAGGCCTTAGTCTATGAGAGAAGCCTCTGTGTGAGGTAGGCCTTAGTCTGTGAGAGAAGCCTCTGTGTGAGGTAGGCCTTAGTCTGTGAGAGAAGCCTCTGTGTGAGGTATGCTTTAGTCTGTGAGAAAAGGCCTCACAGCGTGAAGTAACTCTTTGTCTGTGAGAGAAGCCTCTCTGTGAGGTAGGCCTTAGTCTGTGAGAGAAGGCTCTGTGTGAGATATGCTTTAGTCTGTGAGAAAAGGCCTCACAGTGTGAAGTAACTCTTTGTCTGTGAGAGAAGGCCTCACAGTGTGAGAAGGCCTGGAGTGAGAAGCTTCAGTAATACCTTCATCTGTGAGAGGAGCCTCTGTGTGAGGTAGGCCTTAGTCTGTGAGAGAAGCCTCTGTGTGAGGTATGCTTTAGTCTGTGAGAAAAGGCCTCACAGTGTGAAGTCACTCTTTGTCTGTGAGAGAAGGCCTCACTGTGTGAGAAGGCCTGGTGTGAGAAGCTTTAGTAAGACTTTCATCTGTGGGAGAAGCCTCTGTGTGAGGTAGGCCTTAGTCTGTGAGAGAAGCCTCTGTGTGAGGTATGCTTTAGTCTGTGAGAAAAGGCCTCACAGCATGAGAAGGCCTAGTGTGAGAAGTTTCAGTAAGAGAAGCCCCAGGTTGAAAAACTTGTGTGTAAAGCTACTGTGTGAACATCCTGTGTAAGTTCAGTGTGGGAGGAAGTTCTGTGAGAGCGAAGTTATTAATCTGCATGAGAAAGAAGCCCAGCGTGGAAGCAAAGAAGGAAGTATAAAGAACTTGGTTCGTGTTATGGAAAGCTTGTTCTTGTAAGTAGTGCTACCATTGTTTTGCGATAAAGAACAGCCTCCTTTGGAAGAGATAAAACATTGAACTGTGTGTTTTTGTTCTTTTTATCCCTTTGGGCTACTGATGCAAATAGGTTACTCCCAACAGGTGCCTACCCAGCCTCTGCTTAAAAAGCCCAAAAGAAGGAGACTCCAACCCACTTCACTGTCAAACTGCTCTTATTGTCAGGAAGTTCTTCCTAATGTTCAGGTGGAATCTCTTTTTCCGCCGTTTGAATCCATTTCTCCATTTCCTCATCTCTGGGGCAGAAGACAGCTAAGCTTGCTCCTTCCTCAATATGATATCCTTGGCATATCAGGCATAGGAAGAAATGCCCTTGCTTCCCTGCGGTCTCTCTACATCAGTGTTTACCTGATCTACTTGTGAAGAAGCCAACTCGGTTGGTTCAAGAGGAGATGGCCGATGATATCTTCCCAATGTTTTGGATCCATCTCCTGGGAAGAAGAAGAAAGCAAAGTATCAGGAAGGTTCACAAGAAAGAGACGAGTTTTAAAATAATGCTAATATAAAATGTATTTAGCATAAT